TTTTTTAATCAACAACTGGAAACTCAACGTCAACTAAAAGTGTCACCAACTGTGATGATGAGGGATTAGTACCGAAAAAGAAGCTTCCAGACAATAAACTCTAAAACGCTGAACATTGTTCATTCTTGACACACTGTTTTTTTTTTAACTATAAGGCTCTATATATTCTGACAAACCCAGAACAAGCATAGATAGATGAGATACTTTTAGCCTTTTACTGCTTGGGGCTGAAATATTTGCTTGTGATATTTACTAGTGTGTCCTGCTCCCTGCTCTCCTTTCTTGCCCTGTGGTATTTATTATAGTGCCTCTTGGGGATTTGAAACCATGAAACCTACTCTGCTATCACTGGTCTTATTAAATGATCACATGACAATAGGAGGGAGTTGAAATTTCAGTAGTGTAACCAATTGACTTCTCATGGGTACAAGTGCTCAGTGTTTTATTTGACATATGGTATCTTAAAATGCTATTCTGTGTATTAATATAACAATACATAAATATTTAACATTTTATTGTGGATGGGCAATCTTCTTCAGAAAATCTTCCCTTTCTCATGAGTTCGGCTTTCCAGGTTATCTCTGCTGAGTCACTCCCCTGATTGCATTTTGTAGTGTGACAATGATGCATTCAGCAAACTCAGTGCAGTGTTCTGTATCGAGTTAAAGTAGAACCACGCCAAGCAGAATGAATTTCTCCATTACTGTAAATTTTCTCCAATTAAAACAAAGGTTAAAATTAATATTTTTGGATGCCACATTCTTTCAGGATTGAAGCCTGAAGACCCTTATGAACATCCCTCTGTGAAATGATGTTTATTTAGTTGAATATCACATTTTTGATACAGCCCGAGGCATTTTTTCTTGTAGTCATCAACTTGGTTGATAGCATCACAGACTTGAGAGATCAATATTGATGATTTCTTTCATTTTATACCTTTCTCAAATATGTTGATATCTTTGTCTGGTGAACCAGAGAAGAGATCCAGCTTCATTAGTACAGAAGAGGCTCAGTGACTAGGAATGCCTTAGCAGGAGTATATTGAACAGATATGGAACAAAACCTGATTAAAGCCTGAAGCACTTGCTCACCAAAGTGATGTCTGGAGTTAGCATCCTTTAGGATGCTTTCAAACATGCTAACTATTAACTTTCCTTTTATTACTTTTAAAAATATCAACACAATTGATATATTGCAATAGTGTTATCTATTAAGAATAAGTCAGATATCCAATTAATTAAATTCAGCAGAACTCCAGTGACTCTAATCTGACAAAAATCCCACGTTAAAAAGAATGTAAAAGGGCAGAGGGTAAGAAGTAGAAATAAAGGCACTAGAGTGGAAAAAGAGAGCCCATTGCAACACTCACAAGTTTGACACCTACTGAGTGCAAATGAGAACTGTTGACTTTCTACTTTAGGTAAACTTGTACAGGTCCTATGCAGTCCTGACCATTACTGGATATTTAGTAGCATCCCTGGCTCCTACCTGCTCAAAGTATATTTCCAGTTGTTACAAAGACAGCGTCTTCAGAAGTTACCCTATGTTTCAAAAAGCAAAGTAACAGCTCCTAGTTAAGAACTACTGAATTAGAGAATGTCACAATTCATCAACATGAAAGGCCTAGCATATGTTACAGAGGAAGGAATCCTTGGAATTTATGTGAAAGAACTGGAAGTCTGCAGAGTTAAATTCCTAGTCCACCTGAATAAACCAACTTGATTTTACATGTAATCACCTTCACTGCAACAAGTGGGATTTCTATCTTGTCTTTTTTGCCCTTAAAATTCACCCTTTTGTCTCTGGTAAAGCCTGACCTCTTACCTAATGTCATTTTGAAAAGGACAACATGAGAGAAGTATTCTCAGAATGGAACAATCAATGATAATCTATAACACCCTGGGTTGGTAGGAAACCAGAGTTCAGTTCATTGCCCTAGTTTGAGATGGAGTTTCCAATGAAAATTAGAATTGGGGTAAGATTCAGAGTCAAAAACATTCAAGTCGACTCTTACATCAAAATGGCCTTTTGTCATCAGGTCTGCTCATCTTAGTTAATTGTCGGAATGCTATGGTTGCCTCGCCAGGATTTATTTGACATATGGTAGAAACTATTGAGAGATTTAATGCAAAATCACAGTTCAAGGTGAAGCTCCGTGAGCTACATCATGATGTCATCCACAGTGCTTTCTATATGGTAGGGATTTTCAAAGGGCACATGATTGATAGTGGGAGCAGCTGTGTGGTTCAAACTGAGCCTATTGGCTGGAATACCAGAGTGTTTCTGAATTATATGTTTGTGATTCATGTCTTCCCCCATTTCTTGGTGGAGTCAGAACTCAAATGAGCTGTAAGAAGATAGACAAGCTTTACTTTATCCTACCATGGGTTCTTTTTCCTAGGTTCTTTATGCTATTATGAGGGTCTTAAAGGTGTCCTCTACCTTTCCCTAAAACATTTTTGTGACCAATATTAAGATGAGTTGTATGTATGTGTGCCTGTGAATTTGTGTATGTGTGTATCTCTCTCTCTCTCTCTCTCTCTCTCTCTGTGTGTGTGTGTGTGTGTGTGTGTGTGTGTGTGTATGCATATATTATGGGGGAGTCTTCCCATGTGTGCTCACTGAGAGGCTGATATCAGAGGTTGATATTAGGATGCATTTCTCTATTGCTTCATTTAATTTTAAAACATTTTATTAATTATTTGAGTATTAATTTTTTTATCATATTCACCCCACTTCCCTCCCTTTATTCCTCCTAGATTCACTCCACCTGCATACTATACCCAACTTCATGTCTATATTTTATTTATTTATTTATTTATATGTAATAACCCATTGACTATAGTTTGTGCTGTCCATATATTTCAGGGCATGAAGACATCTACTGGAGTGTTGTAGGCTTACCAGGGGTCACAACCTTAAAGGAAATTGACTTTTTTCTGCAGGAGACATCACCCTAGTTTTGGAGACAGGGTCTGTCACTGAGCCAGGACTCACAGTTTTGGTCATGCTGCTCAATACTACACCCACCTGTCTTCTTACTATTTTTATTTTTAGTCTGTGCTGTATAAATATATGTTCACATGTCTATGGAAGCATGTTTATGTTCACACACTCACTGAGGTTCAAGGGTGATGGCAGCTATCCCCTTCAATCTCTTTCACTCTTTTTTGTTGAGGTGAGATCTTTTAAAGGAGCCCAGTGCCTGCTCAGAAAGCTAATCTAGCAAGGCAGTTGTTCTGAGGAGTTCACGTGTTGCCTTCAGATCACTGAATTTGTAGGCAGAATGCCATGCTGCCTTGCATTTGTGTAGGTGCTGGAGGGATCTGAAATCAAGTCCTCATCATTTCACTGCCTTGGTAAGAATTTCACTGCTTTGGTCATCTTCCTAGCTTCTGGATGATTTTATTTTAGTAATGTTATTTTGGAGGCTGGACATTTTCTTAAATCATTTTCCCATTTTTAATCTGTCAGAAAAAGTGGCATTTAAATAACATGTTCTGTAGATATTTCAATTAATTGAACTACTCTTTTTTTTAATCTTCTGAGTTTTTTTTTCTTGAGCCTCTACTATTACTATTACTTTTAAAACACTGAACACATTAATGCTAACCAGGAAAAGAACACCTGGTTTTGGCTCCAGCAGTAAAGACAATTCAAAACATATAAGGCAAGTAAGAGGCAGGTGTCCCAGAACATAACAATAATCATAGTATACATAATTATTTGATTATTAGTTTTGAAAGCATAAGAGTGTGTAGTTTGTAAGATACAGAGTACATTATTTTAAAAGGGCTTTTAGAAGTGAGTTTGGAAGCCAAAGAGACATTCACTAAAATAGCTGTTTTATTCAATACTTTTTTTTCTTAAAAAGTTTTGTTTTGGGAAATTTTTAACAGGTATGGAATCAGGGTGGAGAAAAATACATGGTAAAACCCCATCAACCCACTACCTAGATTCAGCAACTGGTCTCATCCCAAATTTCCCCTAAGACTGCTCCCATTGTTGCTGAGCAGCAGATGTGTTTAAAAGTGAACTCCAGGCTCCATACCACACTTGCTCTTTATGCTTACCTAGCATAGATACCTACAAAATGGACATTTTATCCATTTTCTAATGCCATTGCTACAACTAGGAAAATTACTGGTATTGTCTTGGCATCACCTAATCTACAGTATAATCAAATGTTCCTTCTCATCTCTAATGCCTATGTTGACCAGTATGTTCAAATTAGAATCCAAAGTCTACATGTTGCTGTGATTCTTAAACTTATTGAGGTAATTCTTTTTAAATTAGTGGTTAGCATTCATTTCAAAGTTAACATTCCACAAATAGTAAGTGGAATTTTATACAGGCATTTGACTAAAACATTTCTTCAATTCTATTTTGGTCGATTGTGCTGGGTTGGGATCAATAAAGGAAAGTGACATTGAGCTATCCCCGCCTCAGTTTTTACTACACACAACCTGTAATGGACAGGTACACTGTGAAACCTGCTTGAAACCTGTTACCTTAAAAGTTTCTTTTTGTCTATAATTCATTTGGTTAAAGATAAATCCTGATAGCACTAATATTGATACCCAGCCACTCATTAGTTTACAAATAGGATGCTTAGATAAGGAAGCAAAACACATTTAATAATTTTCTCAGAATACTTACTATTTGTGGAATGAGAACTTAAAATATTTTGGTTATGAAACTTTAGCATGAAAATATCTAATTATACCATGCAGAAAAACCACACATCTGAAAGTAATACTACCACCCCCCCCCCCCCCCCGCCTGCCTCAAAAACTGTGTCAATCTAATAAGAACTGCAGTGATTGTATTATGGAACCATGGTTCAAGGATTTAGTTGAGAACAAAACCTTGGAAAGTAAAGAACACAGTGCCTATAGAAATGTTATTTTCTTTTAAAATGCATAATTCCAAAGTGACAAAATTTTAACTTATGAAGTGTTAAGTTTTCATTCTTTGTAAATACCGACTTTTAATTACAGTATATAAGCAGCCCCATATCTCCAGAAATGATGAACCTAGTGGAACCAATGATAGGATTTTATGAGGGTTCAGCAGAGATATCTTCGGACTTGCACTCCCTGGCTTCATTCATATATAACAGCCACCCATACAATGACTTTCCTGGCAGGACTAGAGCTGAAGACCAGAGTTCACCAGTTGGTAGGTAAAAATTTAATTCTCTCAAAAGTCATTGAAATCAATAGCTAGCGGAGGTATGAACTTGAGTTTAGAGTTCAACCATATTATTAATGGTCCATGGGCTGGAGTCAGATATTTCTTTTTAACTGTCGGATAGCCTCATGAAACAAATGGAAATGCCACACAAGCAGCGGCTGGCCCTTTCTAACCCATTTGACCTTCTTCCTAGAGAAAGTAGCACCCCAGAGTCCCTAGCCAAGCTGCATAGACAATCAGTTATTACAGTTGCCAAAGCAGGTGTGATGGGGAGGGATTAATATATCTTCAAATCATTTACAGGACTCTCATTCTCTGCAGCCTTTGACGAATAGGTTTTCAAATGTCACTAAAGGTAAATAGGTCAGAAAGTTACAACTCTAGTGCATGGCATAATAAACAGGTGTAGGTGTCCCTAGGATGTGGTGATGTCATTAGCGAACACACTTGCTCTTTGGGGGTCAGCGAGTCTTACTGTTTCTGAAAGGAGAATGTAATATATGGCAAATTGAAGGTACGTGGTTAGGTAACACGGGGCTGCACTGTTTCTTTTGTTTTTATAAACTGTAGGTGGGTACAGTATGCTATTTTGATGCCTCATTCCAAAAGAGAAGTTTTATGATCTTCTACTTATGGTAGAATTAGAAAAGAAAATTACATTTCAATCAATACACTTTTCTTTTATGGATTTATGTTTCTTGTGTAAAGTCAACTGTGGCAACACTAAAACTAAAAGATGCACAGGTTCTAATACAGCTACCCCCCTATACATTTCAAATTTAACTTAGTTTCTAATTAAAAATTCCTAGGCAAAATTCATAAATGAAACAAATGTTTCAGACCTTTTTGTAGACATATGCATGGGACAGTGAAGCATTAAGCAAGAATGCTTACTGTAAGCAATCACTGGAACTAGCAAATGTATGCTTTCGTTTCTTGAAGTCTGCAAGTAAAGCTTAGCATTGATTTATAATGTTACAGTCTTATATTGTTGTCTAGTGTTTGAGTTCAGGAAAGAAAACCTAGGCCAGTCCTTCTTGAAAAGTTATATTTTTTTCTCAAAACACTGCTATCATGTTCTTAAACATTATATAACAACTTATAAGTTTATGTTATGAGCACAAGATGTTTATAGCTATTGGAGATTCTTTGGAGCTCATAAAATGTTCATATTTATTTTGAATTGTATGTCTACTGTTCTGTATAGAGAGGGTATGAAGATATTAATACAAATTATTAAGTTTCATTGAGAAAAATAATTTTGATTGTAGTGTCAAATGTCTTTTTTTCCCTGTTGATTTCCAATAGTAACCACCAAGAATCAGTATATTACTGACATCACTGCTGAACAGCTGTCTTATGTTATCAGGAGGCTTGTGCCATTCACTGAGCACACGGTTAGTGTATCTGCTTTCACCATCATGGGCGAAGGACCACCAACGGTTCTCACTGTTAGGACACGTGAGCAAGGTACTAATGCATTTCCTTTGCAATAATTGCTTGTAAATGTTATTCATGTGATTAATACTTCTGCTTTTTCATTTCCATTAATTGTTCATTCTTCTTTTCAAGTGCCAAGCTCCATCCAAACTATAAACTATAAAAATATTAGTTCTTCATCTATTTTGCTATATTGGGATCCTCCAGAATATCCTAATGGGAAAATCACTCATTATACAATCTATGCAATGGAATTGGATACACACAGAGCATTCCAGATGACTACCGTAGATACCAGCTTTCTCATCACAGGTAGAAGGAAACATCGTGTTTCTGTTGCACTCCTCCTCCTTTGATAGAAAATGTACACTTCTATGCACCTTAAATGCTGCAGGACACATTCCAGATTTTATTGACATGTGTTCCTTGGATATCATAGAAATGTTTATGGAAATCATGATACAACCTATTTTTCAACTATATCTATTCACAAAAGTAAAAAGTATATCATCACAGCTTTTACAGAAATACACTTAACCTAAGAAATTTTGTACTTTGAAAATAATTCATGTTTGAGGACTTGAACAAATGAACTCACATGAAAATCAGCTGAGACAACTCAGTTGGCAGGGGTGTATTGCCAATTTCCTTGCTCTGTGCCAAAAATTCTTTTTTTTTTCAGTTTTATATTATTGCCTTAACATTACAGGAAAGATCTCTGATATCATCTGCAGGAAAACCTTGAAACCCAAGGAATTTGGGAGACTAAGAGTACATGGAAGCTGACTGAGAGAGCCAGTCCTTCTAGTGAATTATTCATATTAACCCCATGACACTAATCTTAGGATGTTATTTTCTTTTGAAGATTTTAAGCAATTATTCTGTTGTCCTTTAGGGTTGAAGAAATATACAAGATACAAAATGAGAGTAGCTGCCTCAACTCATGTTGGGGAAGGTTCTTTGTCAGAAGAAAATGACATCTTTGTGAGAACTCCAGAAGATGGTAAGAATACATAGTGTGTTTTTAATTAAAAAGAGGGGAATAAAGGAGGAAAGAGGGAAGGAAGGAAAGGCTATTATTCTCTTGATGCCTCTAAGTCATGGAATCTTCAATGTTTAAAACAACAAGCATGAAAAATTACATATTTTAACAGTTTTGTTCTATCCCTGCTAGAACCTGAATCCTCACCTCAAGATGTCAAAGTAACTGATGTGTCTCCAAATGAAATGAGATTGCAATGGTCCCCACCTGAAAAACCTAATGGGATTATTATTGCCTATGAGGTGCTTTACCAAAACACAGACACCTTGTTTCTAAAGAACACCTCAACAACAAACATAATTTTAAGTGACCTAAAACCTTACACCCTCTATAACATTTCTGTCTGGTCATATACCAGAGTTGGCCACGGCAATCAGTCATCCTCAGTCCTCTCTATAAGGACATCAGAGACGGGTAAGTAAGTGGTTTTGTTTGCTTGTTTAATTCTTAGTTATACAGTAAACATAGCTGACAATTACCTTGCTGTTTGTACTTTTATGAGACAAAAACCCTCATTTTTTTGTAAAAAGAAATTTATTCACTCTTTCTGGCAAAATTGTAGGGGAAAGGCTTAGTTGTTATAAAATTTAAAAACAAATTTCCTATATAAAGGACCTTTTAATAAAAGTCAGTGAATTGTTCAAACAAAAACCTTTAAAACAATACCAAAGACTCATCTGTTGAGTCTGCAGACTTTAGGCTGAGTAGCTACTTGCTTTCTGTTTAGATAAACAGAGAGGCACATTCAGAAGACTAGGTTTCTGTATTCTAAGAGGGGTATAAAGATAGCAATGCAGAGTTTTTGCACAAATGTGTATGACAAGGTGATGTGCTTAGGGAGCAGGCTGAGTTCAGTCTGGGTCTTAATGATGAGGGTAGAATGGGCAGAAGGATTTTGTAGAGGTTGTTGAATAGGAAGCTAGGTGTGTGTGTGTGTGTGTGTGTGTGTGTGTGTGTGTGTGTGTGTGTGTGTGTAGCAGGGATACCCCAACTAACAGAAATAACACAAGCAAAAATTCATTTGTATCTAGTTTCAGTGGTGCATGAGCAATTAACCCAAGACAAATATTTTGCCCAATAATCTTTGTTTATTGTTTCCATTGTAATATGAGCACATAATGGAGCAATTACTATTGGGGCAAATCTGCAATGTATGCTAAGTGAGATCTAATTGGAGGGTTTCCGTTTTATCTACACATTTAAATGAATAATCTTATACTGACTAGCTCCTGTCTGAACTCCATAAAGTTCTCATTTTGGAGGTCACAAATAGCCAAATACTGGCATCCTCATTTAGGTTAGCCAGATACAAATGTGAAGTTCTGTCCTTGGCCTTGAAGATCTAGAAATCTAGCATGACAGTATACCTCCATTGATAGTAATTTCTTGAGATTGTCACACAGATTTAATATAATGAAATGTCACAACATTGTGGATACAGAAATACAGTCATAATTACCACTGCAGGATTGGAGTGACGAAAGCAGTTCTTTATAGCACCAAGAACTGCTATACCCTTAAACTAAACTTAATTGATACCAAATTGCATATCACCATGCTTTGTTGTTTTTATGAATATTGAGCCCAAAGGCAGATTTTTTAGAAGGATAATTGTTCTTTTGTGATTTGGTTTATTTACCCTGGATCAGACGTTGCTCATGGCTTTCATGTAAGTTATCATCTTAATTCTAGAGCAGAATACAGCACTAAGTTATTGTTTTCCATCATGAAAAACTGAGGCTCCCAAAGGGCCATCCATTCAGCAGACATCTACCCTGTTCCACAACCTGTTTTGCATATAGCAGTATAGAAGGAAATGGTTTCTTTCTATACTAAAGTTCATAATAATTGGTGGGAATTTAATTGCTTAAGGCTAGCCAGCTGGCAAGTGATGAACTGGAATTGAAACCAACCCCATTAGTCATATAAAGCCCATTTTGTTCTCAAGGCACATGCTGGAAAAAAATTATGAGAATTTCTCAGGTCACAGTGGAGGTTAGCTATCTGAGCTTTGCATAGCACAAGGAATAAAATGATTAAGTTTCACTCTATTGTGATTTTTGAAGAAGCAGGATTCTTATCAGATATTTTACTTCTTAGGTGACTATCATATCAAGGACATGACAGTTTAATGATGAATTATAAAAAATGTTTTCTGAACTTTGTAGACATGTGATATTTTACTTTGTATTGGTAAAATTACTCTAAATTTCCTTTCCATTATCAGTCTTATGAGCTTGTTTCTAAGGCAGGGATAAGTGAGTATTAGAATTTAACTTGAGATGTAATTTCAAACAAGAATTTTAGTCCCAGAAAATATTTAAGAAAACATGTTGAACTTCCTATAGACAAGGCGAGGTAGAACTATTTTAATAAAATGACCAATAAATCACAGCAGATAAGGTAAAGCTCTGGCTCGATGGTAGGTCTCCTGAGCCCCATTTCAGGGTTCATTTATTAGGTTCCTGATCAAGCTATGAAATAACAGTGTGGTTGGGAAAACCTAGCCCTGAGCTTCCAGGCCCACCTGTTCTGGTAGGTCAAACAGAGCTGTCTTGACAGCCTTCTGAGAAGCAGGAGGCCCCGCTCATAGAGGATTGTGCTCAATGCCCAAGGGGGCCCACTCCCCTGTAGAAGTAGTGTCAATGTCTCCTGCCCATTCCCCATTGTATAGAAGAGAACAGTGGGATCAACACCAGTGAGACTTCCTGGCTCCTGTTGAGCTACCAGCTTTCACTCCCTTGGCAAAGGAAGAAGGAGGTGTTCCAAAGGATTCTAGGATATTGCCTGAAGAAGAATGAGCTCAAATTAGCTGTCTATTCTTAGAATTTAATAATATTATTAAAACATATTTTTCTCTTATAAAAGCTCCATGCTTTCAGTTAAGCTTTATGTGCAATTGTTGTGAAAATTCACTGATGTGACAATGCTGCTGATTACAAATAAATAATTAATATAATCCACTGAAGAACCTCATTGGGTTTATTTGTGCTTGGAAGTAACACGTGGAGCTCTAGTAACGGAGATCAAACCAGGCCGATTTTGTGTTCATGTATGTGAATGAATTTGGATGTGTGTAGTTATGCTTCCAATATGGACAGACAGTTTACAAATGAGGTTAGTTTTCTTATGCCTACTGTATAGTAATCATTGAATAACAAATCAATAAGGATGAATCCTTTGATGGCATAGATATGTTCTTTGTCCTTGCCACATAATTTTCTTTATTACAAGCCTTTAAGTAAATATTTTGAACTTTTCTGTGTTGGGGAAATAACCACTAATAATTTGACACAGATGTATACAAAAATTCTGAATAGAACTCTATGAGTTTTGATCAATTAATGAACAACATCTTTAAGCTTGTCTATGTACTTCATAATTTTATATGCCAGCCATACTGTGTTCTGGCATCTTTGTAATAACATCCTTTATTATAATCACTAATCAGATGATATCTTTTGTTTGTAGATTTTGAATAGATTCATTTTATTCCAACTGGTTGGCATCAGGTTGCTATTGTTACCATTGGGAGTGTTCTGAATGCTAGCTGAGAAAATTCTCAGTGAATCTTCACTCTTCAAAATCACTGAGTCATTTCTCTGCCTGAAGACTCAGCTCTGGTTATCTCCTAAGGATAAATGAATAAACTATAAAGGCTGTCAAGCTGAGTTCAGGGATATATTTTTATCCTGCTTACTGACAGTAGGCAAGCAACACTGGAGGGACACCTTTGCAGAGTGTCTGTCAGTATCACCAGTTAGACTACATTAAAGTTTTATTTACACAAGAATTTTAAATAGCTTTACCCCTTCTTATAATTAGATGACTTTTTTTCCTTTTTAAAAGGGAAGGGGAATGATGTGACTATATTTTAATTAAAATTATTACTTTAAAAAGAATAATATTTTTAGTTAAAAATATAATTACATTGGGACTAGGCTCAAATCAAACTTGCATATTGATTGGTTATGGTTTTCTGTAGTAGTCTCAATCTGTTGCAAAGAGAAGTTTTCTTGATGAGGGGTCAAGATTATACTTTTATGTGGGTATAAGGGCAACATTTTATAGATTGTTGGTAGGGAATATACTGGGCATGGTATCCCTCCTATTGAGTGGGTCTTAACTCCACTTAGAACATTGTTGGTTACCGCTAAGATACTCATGCCACTACTTTGTCTTTAAGGTTATTGTGCAATGATGGTTGTAGTTGGGTTGGGCCTTTGGTTGCTTCTTGCCTTTGCATGGTGCCTTCTGGGCCCAGTCCCAATGAATATATATATGCAAAACACTCCCACACCTAAGGCTTAGGGTACACCATTGAAGAGGCAGAAATATTGTAAGGGCCAGAGGATCAGAAAATTTATTGTGAGAATGTATCTCCTGGTAATACCAGAAATTACACCCATAAAGACTCACCAACATGACTGCCCAGTACCAAACTGGGTGAAGAAAGCTCATGAAGCCTCAATCCCACCTAAAGAACTACAGGAAACCACGGAAATCTGGGTGTGGGGAAGGTGTCCTTCTGCAGAGACGAGCACACCAATTTGTTGTTCAGTGCAAGATGGTCAGCCCTACAAACATATATGCATGTGCTATGAACTTGCCTCTTAGAACCACCTTCACTGTGTCTCATGAGTTTGGATATGTTATATATTCATTTTTATTTATCTCAAAAATCTTTAATTTCTATCTTAATTTCTTCCTTGATCCCTTTTTTTTCCATTCAGTAGTGAGTAGTTCACTTTCCATGAATTTGCAAACTTTCTGTTGTGGTTGATATCCAGCTTTAATCCATAGTGGTCTGATAGGATGGAAGGAGTTATTTAAGTTTTCTTGTATCAGTTGAGACTGGCTTTGTGTATGAATATGTAGTCAATGTTTAGAGGAAGTCCGTGAGATGCTAAGAAGATGCAATACTATGTTGTGTTCAGGTGAAATGTCCTATAGATATTTGTTAGGTTCATTTGGTTTAAAATTTCAGTCAGTTCCAGCATATTTCTATTTAATTTTTGACTGGATATTCTGTCTATTGGTGAGAGTGAGATAGTGAAGTCTCCCACTATCAATGTGTAAGGGTCAATATGTAATTTAAGCTGTGCTATTGTTTCTTTTATGAGCTTGGGTACTCTTGTGAGGTACATAGATGTTAAGAATAGCAGTGTCTTATTGGTGGAGTTTTCTTTTGATTGAGTATGCAGTGTCCTTCCCTATCTCTTCTGATTAGCTGTGGTTTGAACTCTATTTTGTCAGATATTAAAATTGCTACAACATCCTGCTTCTTAGTTGAATATGCTTGGAATAACTTTTCCTATCCTATTTCATAAAAGAGATGACTAGCCTTGTTACTGAGTTGCGTTTCTTGAATGCAGCAGTAGTATAGATGTGTTTTAATATCCAGTCTGTTATTC